GATTCCAATTGAGTCAGATTTATCCCTGGGATGCAAGGATGGTTCAACATAAGTAAATCAATCAATATAATACACCACATTAACAAAATGCTACCAAAAGGCCACATGATCATCACAATGGAGCATAAAAAGCATTTGACAAATTCAACATCCTCGTGTGGTAAAAACTTTCAACAAATTAGGGACAGAAGGAACTTACCCCAACACAATAAAGGCCATCTATAAAAAGGCCACAGCTCACATCGTACCGAGTCATGTAAAACTGAAAAATTTTGCTCTAAGATCAGAAACAAAGGTGGCCACTTTAAAACACCTATGCTCAACATAGTTCAAGAAGTCTTAACCAGAGTCATTAAGGATGAAAAAGAAAACAAAAGCATTCAAATCAGAAAGAAAAAGGCAATATTTTATCTGTTTGCAGATCATATCATTATATGTTTAAAACCCTTAAAATGCCACAAAAATCCTGTTGAACAATAAATAAATTCAGTTAAGAGGCAGGATACAAAATCAACATATAAAAATCAGTTAGGTTTCTGTATACAAACAGCAAACGATCCAAAAAAGGAATTGAAAAAAATCCCATTCCCAATAACAATAAAAAATAAAACACTTAGGAATAAACTTGACCAAAAATATTAAAGACTTGCACACTGAAAATTATAAAGCAACTTATTATTTCTTGATTGTTGTTTTGCCGTCTTTGCTCAAGAACTAACAATGGCTTCGCTTGACGATTATATGAGTCACAGGTTTTCACTGTCAACACTTAATTTAACCTACCTCATTCCATATTCATATGAAACTTAGACTCTCCATACCAACCTAGTCATTTGACTACAGTCACCTATACACCATCTCCCCTCTCCTCCTGCATATTTGGGGTTACTCTTCAGAACCTGTTTCACCCTCATTTCTCAGCTCTAATCATTAATGCCTCATTTTAACCTGATAACCCTGTCTGAGTGGTCTCATTGGTGGAAGACAATCATACGAGGACATGAGTAATTATACTTTTCAAAGGTAAACAGAAGTTTGTTCAATATTAGCCTCCCCCAGAAACTTTCTGCAAGAACTGATTTTATTTCTTTTATTATTATTATTACTATTATTATTATTATACTTTAAGTTCTGGGGTACATGTGCAGATCTTGCAGGATTGTTACATAGGTATACACATGCCATGGTGGTTTGCTACCTCCATCCCCCCATCATCTACATCAGGCATTTCTCCCAATGTTATTCCTCCCCAACCTCCTTAACCCCTGCTATCTCTCCCCTAGCCTCCCAACCCCCAACAGACCCCAGTGTGTAATATTCCCCTCCCTGTGTCCATGTGTTCTCATGCCATATAAGAACATGCCGTGTTTGGTTTTCTGTTCTTGTGTCAGTTTGCTGAGAATGATGGTTTCCAGATTAATCCATGACCCTGCAAAGGACTTGAACTCATCCTTTTTTATGGCTGCATAGTATTCCATGACATATATGTGTCACATTTTCTTTATCCAGTCTATCATTGATGGGCATTTGGGTTGGTTCCACGTCTTTGCTATTGTAAACAGTGCTGAAATGAACATATGTGTGCATGTGTCTTATAGTAAAACAATTTATAATCCTTTGGGTAGGTACCCAATAACAGGATTGCTGAGTCAAATGGTATTTCTATTTCTAGATCCTTGAGGAATTGCCACACTGTCTTCCACAATGTTTGAACTGATTTACACTCCCACCAACAGTGTAAAAGTAGAACTGATTTTGTTTCTTTTGTCTTCATTCTTTTTATAATCGATAAGCTTAGTTTAAACAACAGTAGTCTGCACATCATTTAACTAATATTAAAAGACTTGACAAATTCTTTCAGTGGCACCTAAAACACTTATGACAAATAAAGATCCAGAGGATATTAAGGGACAAAAATAACTGTAGTCACTGTCAATAAGCCCATATTCCTCTGCCTTGCTCATCAGTCCAGGCAACTTTCAAATTTGAAGAAGTCAGTCTGAAACTATTTCATTCTACATTTTAGGTCATAAGTGCAAAGCACAGGAGAAATGTATTTCTTTTAATTCAGCAAAAAAGTCAATAGTAAATTTGAGTTCAGCTCTTCCTTCTGCCATTTTCTCCTCTGTTCAAAACCAAACAAGGCCTGGATACCTGACGTTTTTGTTGGCAGAGGTCCTCTGCTGAGTGGCCTAGTACTTGTCTGAAGATGAATGTAGGCAGGTAGGATTCAGGGGAAGAGGCCCTGTGTGTGTGTGTGTCCATGAGGGTCTGTGTGTGTTCGTGCATATGAATATGAGAGTCCTAAAAACCTCTCTTTTAGATCCACTACTATGTGATATAAAAGAAGCTGTTGAGAATTAACAAAAGTATGAGCATTAATTTATAAAATCTGCCACAATTACCTTTCCCTTGACAGTTAAAATAAATTAAATCTGTTCCACATCTTCTTATATCTGTTTCTCTGCTTTAATCTCCACATTGATTTTTGACCAAAGAGCCTCAAGTCTTGAAATAATCAAATTGCACCAGAGAAAACACAAATGATCTGTTTTGCTTTGCAACTATTTTGTTATATTCAATCTTTCAGTTATTAAAACTGAAAAAAGGAATTAAACAGAAACACACAGTTAATGGCTGTCATCTTCTGTCAATGAAAGCTTTTTACTGGGTCCAGTTGGATACGAGGTCCAGTTGACATTCTTTCAATCTGTCAACTGAATGCGAAAAAGCAACCGTTCAAAACACTAACGATACTGACCATTACATTTAGTCATCTTCATTTCACTGGCAGATTTTGACATTGTTTATAATTTACATACAAATAAATAGTTTTGTGAAAGAAACTTAGTCATCTTTGGACAGATGAATGACATTTTTACTTATTAGTAAGAGTTTAATACGGTTATTCAGCCATATTTAAAATCTGTTACCTAAATCTCCTAAAATCTGTTATCTTCATTTTCTCTATAATTTAAGATGTTTACAATTACCTTTTCAGCATATAATGGACAAGATCTTATATGTATTTGAAAATGATCCTTCATGACATTTTTCTAAATAGAATATTTATTTTCTTGCCTTGGTCCCTAAAAAAGGGTCAGTATCTGCTTTCACTTTTTCCTTCTCCTGACCTTGTAATACAAGGATTTTTTAGGTAAGAAATACTTTTTGTATGTGTCTGAAGGAACAGAGTCAACATTTAAAATGTGGAGTCTGCTAATTTTTCTTCCCCCAAATATTTCACCAACCATTCATTTTCATTAAATTCTAAGTCCAGTGAGTCCAATGTATGTCTCACCTTGGTCCCTACGCCTTTAAGGGCAACAAGGGAAGCTTGATGTGGTCCAAGGTGATTGTGTATAAAAATAAAAAAGATGCTATCCACTGAAAATGCTCTCCTTATTATACACAGAGCTGTAGTGGAGGCTTCCATTTACACAAAACCTTTTCTTCTGCATTTTCAACACAGGAAGAAATACCAGTCTGTAATATAAGCAGAGTCAACAAAGGGACCGGCAAAGCCTAGCAACCTTGGCTCTGAAAGTCTAATATAAGCCAAGGTCAATTCGCTGGCTGAAAGCATGTGGAAGGGAGGAGGGAGGGAAGAAAAGAAAAGGGAAGGGAACAGAGTTAGAGAAGGAAGGAAGGGAAGGAAAGAAGGAAGGGAGGGTGGGAGAAAGGGAAGGAGGGAACTGTAGTACAGGCCTCTACACAGAACTCTACATGGGCCTCTCTATATTAGCACTTCTGAAAGTAAAAACAACAACAAAAAATCACTTGTACTTCCATAAATGAAAAAAAAAATCACTTTTTCTCACACTCATACAAAGTGGGTCCAGGTTTTGTGGGGCCTGAATCGTACACAATTTAGGGCTTCATTGTGATAAAAGAGACAAATGCCTAACCCACAAATAGTGCCATGTCTTGGAAGGGGCCTGCTCAGGTGGAAGGAAGGAAGGGGAGGGGAGGGAGGAAGGGGGAACAAAGTGAAAGGTAAAAATAAATTCTTTTCTCTTCCACGTCCTGACAGTGAGGAAGAGGCGGAGCTGAGAAGCCTGGATGGCCTTGCTTCCTCTCAACTCTAATACAGGCTTCTTCACAGACCTCTATATGGGCCTCTCTATATTAGCACTTCTGAAAGTAAAAACAACAAAAAATCACTTTTCTCACACTCATACAAAGTGGGTCTAGGTTTTGCAGGTCCTGAAACAAAATTTAGGGCTTCATTGTGACAAAAGAGACAAAAATGCCCAATACACAAATAGTGCGGTGCCTTGGAGGGGCCTGCTCGGGTGAGAGCAGCAAAGGCCAGTTCCACCAGCACAAGGACTACACTCAGTAACTGTCACCAAATATCTAAGTCAGTGTTTCCTATAGTATGTTTGGGGGGCCTGGGGATCCCTGTGTCCCTCCCGAGGATCTGCAAGGTCAAACCTATTTTCCTAGTAATGTTAAGATGTAACATCAGTCTGTTTCTGCATCCACATCTGAAAAAGACTGAGAGAAAAAAAAGACTCCAGTCTGCCAAACTGGCAACCACATTCTCAAACACCTGTTGAGTTCCACTCAACGCAGCCCTGATTCAGCCGTACCAACCTAGCAGTGTCTTGTTGTTGCTGGGCTTCATGGGGATTCCTTATCACCACCATCGAAAATGTTCGTGTAATTGGGAAGACAGGAGTTCTACAGCTGAAACATGCAGGCTGGCATTACCACATGTTTTTCAGCCCTTTACCGATTTCTTTTTAAATTTCAGCACTGTGGCAGATAAGAAAATTGGAAAGATTTTTATTGCTGTATCTGTGATTGACGGATTCACAAGATAAAGTAATACTAAATACTATAATAATGGACAACTCATCTAAATTCAGCCATTTTAAAAAACATTGAATATGACTATTAAATGGACATGTTTACTGTAAATAAAAACAGAGACCAACCCCCGAGGGTTGGCTTCTTCCCTTTTTGACACTGCAAGATGTCTGGTACTCACTCACCCTCGGCTATGGTCAATCTCATCACGAAGGTTTCGTTTTCTCCTGTGCTAGCCTGGAAGCGGCAGCCGTAAAGCCCCGAGTCCGAGGCCCTGGCCTCGGGGATGAGGATGAAGCTCTGCACTCCGTGGCTGCAGTTGTTCACTATTCGTCTCGGGAATCTGGAGGTGAAATTTCCACCGTGGACCAAGTTGCAGTAAGATAGGAGGTCGATCTGATGGGGCTGTATCTTTTCCCACCTCACTTCCTGCACAGGCCACGTCATCTGAGGCTGACAGGTGAGTGTGATATTTTTTCCAGGGTCTGAGACGATGTGGCTATTTGGTGGCACAGCTGTCTCAAAACTATCTGAAAAGAAGAAGCAAATGGTTAGATGCAGGTTGTCACAATTTGGGACACCCAACTGGAAGCTACCCAACCATCAAAATTATTAATGATGTGACCTCACAGTTTCCTCCATTGTGAATGACCTCTTTACACCACATTTTTAGAAGAGGGTTTTTGTTTAAGGCAGGGAGATAAACAGAAAAGAGGATATGACTGCTCACACATAGCTCTGTAAGTGTTACTTGGTTAACCATGTGGTGAGAAACACAGCCAAAACCCCTGGTGCTTTTCTTGGTAGTGATCATATCAAGAGGCTGAATTTTCCAAGGAGACTGTCGTGCAATAATGCCAGGTGGTGTCTCTGACGCTGTATCAAATTCCCAGATTATAATCATTCTGGCTAAGACTATGACAGTCATGAAAAATCCCAAATCATTTTCATTGAATACACACACGACCTCATTCTTCAGTCATACAGGGTTGTCTTACACGTGGATAGAATAGGGCCCCACATGTGGTATCAATTCTTGGTACCATGAAAGTCCCCAATATTCTCCCACCTTTAGGACACCATTTCTGAAATTCCCACCACGAAGTACTCAGTAATTGTCACCAAAAATCTAAGTCAGTGGTCCTTACAGTGCGTTTGGAGGGCCCTCAGCATCCCTGTGTCCCTTTAGGGGATATGCAAGGCCAAACCTATTTTCCTAGTGATATTAAGATAAAATTCCCCCTCTTCAATCCAGTTCTCTCACAGGTATACATTAGATATTTTCAGAGGCTCTGCCAGCAGGTGGTATGTGTGCTTGAAAATTCTTGTGTTTTAAATTTTTCTCAATATTAACTTCAAATACAGTAAACATGACAGATATAACCTACATAAACAAACACTCCCTGAGAGTCTTCAATAATTTTTGAAAGAGCATAAAGGCGTCTTGAGACCAAAATGTTTGGGAACCTGATCTAAAGAATAAAACAGTATTTCTCAAAGTTAAGGCAACCTGGCAAGGTAACAAGTACATCTATTAGTGAGGAATACCTTCTTTGATCTGATAGCATCGCTAAAGCCAACAAATTCTGACCTGCTGTTTCCGTACAGAGGGAGGCCTGGGCAGTAACAATGTCACAACGCTCTCTAGCACTAAGGGAGAAATGCAAAAAGTGCAAAGTCATCTGTCACTTCAACTATGTGACAGTTTCACTCAAGGCTGGCCATCGTCTTGGCATACAAACAAAAGAAAAGAAAGAAATAGAGAAAGAGAAAGAAAGGAAGGAGGGAAGGAGAAAAAGAGAAGAGAGAAAAGAAGAGGGAGGAAGGAAAAAGGAAGGAAAGGAAAACAAAGGAAAAGAGATGTCACATTGCAAAAGACAGAATGAAAGTCTAAAGTGCAGTATGATTTGCTGTCTATTGAACTAGAATATCATGTCTACGATAGTTTCAGCTGCACCGAAAACTAGCTTCTCATCTTTAGCATGCGGTTCCGTGTGTCAAAATGCTGTGAAGAGAAAACCACAGCACCCCAGGTTTCTCCTCTGCACAGCTGTTTACCAAAGGCAGCACTTCACCCATATAACACACACCCGAAAACACGTCAACTCTAAGTACTAAAGTAACAGAAGAAATGGGAAGGAAAGAGAAGGAAAGGAAGAAGATTCATAAAAAATGAGAAAAAAGGAAATCAAAGCTTAAAAGAAAAAAAGGAAAATTAATTAAAACAGGGAAAGGAAGACAGGAGAAAAGGAGGAAATGAGTGGCAACATAAAACCAGAGGCCCGCATGCCATATGGAGAAATGAAAGAACATAAAAGAAATGAAAAAAAGAAAGCAAAATCGACTTTCGTGGGAGCCCTTCTGGCCCCCGGGAAGTAAGAGGCAGTGTGGTGTGTGTCTTCAGTGCTCACAGGCACAAACGTTTGTGTTTTTCTTCTTCTTCTTCTTCTCTCTGGATGCTGCCCCATTCAATCTCAGGAGCTTCCTTTGTCTGCCTATCTAACCAAAACCACGCTCTCGGAGAGGCCTCCATGAACCTGCTGACTCAGGTATAAACAGGGGTCTTCTCACAGCATTATGCAGTAATGCTGGGCTGGTTTCTCCAACGCTTGAGCATCAGATTTTCTGATTATAATCATTCCGGCTAAGATTACAACAGTCATGAAAAAGATCCCAAATCATTTTCACTGAATACACACATAAACTCATTCTTCAGATATACAGATACCAGTGTCTGCATTTTCACAAAGGACAATGCAGGAAGCAATGGGGAAAATCCTAGAGGGGATGCAGCTGTCTTTGGGGAGCAAAGTAAAGTGCAGGGAGGTTACAGCAGAGGCTCCATGTGAGGATCCAGACCTGCCTTTCAGTAGACAGCCTAGAGCAGAAAGAAGTGTTTCCCAACCCTAGAGCCAGGTGGTTCCGAAGCTCAGAGTAGCCCCTAATCAACCTTTCCTGACAGAGTAATTGGTTGGTGTTATATAAAAATCAAGACTTCTACGAGGTTGGCGGAACCTGCCTTCCCTCCGATGTCACTTATGGCTTCTCAGATGACAGGCTCCGCCTCCACAGCGCAGTGGAAGGCAGCTCAAAATACCTTGAAAAGAACTCCCAGGAAGAACCCACACAAACAAGAGGACTCTGGCATCCTGAGGAACTTGGAATTGGAAAGTGGATTTGCATAAAACAGAGACCAAAATGTCGCAGTGAATTGGGAAGAAAAAAGTTTGTTTTGAATAAAACAGAAACACAAATAATAACAACCAGTTTATACTTATATGTAGCTATGTATTTATACTTAGAATAAACATTGAATACAGTGTGTTCAATGATTTTGTGATTTTGACTGCAGGATATCATGATGAAATATTCTCTATTTTGTATGTGGCTTCTCTGGCTTGACCATAGATCATCGTTGGAAATTATTTCAGTGCTTCATCACCTTTTCCAAGCGCCGCTCATGCTCCGGGTACCCCAAAACATTCCTGGGTACCTCTTCACATCATGCCACTGTCCCTGCCCACCAGCACGTCCCTGGCTACTGACCTGTCCTCCTCACCATCCCCACTGTTCAACAGCTCTGAATGCAGTTTGAGCAATTCTGCAAAATCCCTCACCAACCTCACAAAACCCTGAGTCCTTTTACTGTCAACTTCATAAGCCTGTCTTCATATATCTTGTCCTATTTATGCTACTCTGTCCTTAGCATCTAGAACCGTGCTTGGCATAAAGTCGAGAAGCCAGTCAATATTTTTTGGTTGAAAAATTTGCCAACCTAACTAATGGGAGGAAATATCTGCAAACTATGCATCTGACAAAGGTCTAGCATCAAACATTTATAAGGAATTTAAACAAATTTACAAGAGGAAAACAAAGAATCCCATTAAAAAGTGGGTAAAGGACATGAACAGACACTTCTCAAAAGAAGACATATACGTAGCCAACAAGCATATGACAAAAAGCTCAATGTCACTCATCATTCGAGAATGGCAAAACAAAACCACAATGAGATACCATCTCGTACCAGTCAGAATGGCTGTTACTAAGAAGTCGAAAATTACAGATCTGGGGTTGGTGGAAGTGCAAATTAGTTCAACCACTGTGGAAAGCAATATGGCAATTCCTCAAAGAGAAAAAAGCAGAACTACCATTTGACGCAGCAATCACATTCCTGGGCAAATACCCAGAGAAACAGAAATCACTGCAGCATAAAGACACGTGTACGTGAATGTTCACTGCAGCACTATTCACAATAGCAAAGACATGGACTCAACCTAAATGTCCATCAATAACAGATAGGATAAAGAAAATGTATTACATACATATCACAGAATACTATGCAGCCATAAAAACGAATGAGATGTTTTGTGGGAACATAGATGGAGCTGGAGGCTGTTATCCTCAGCAAACTAATGCAGAAATCGAAAACCAAATACCATATGTTCTCACTTTTAGGTAGAAACTAAATAAGAACTTACAACCATAAAGAAGGAAACAGCAGACATTAGGATCTACCTGAATGGGGAGGATGAAAGGAAGGAGAGAAGCAGAAAAGATAACTATTGGGTACTGAGCTTAACATGTGGGTGATAAAATAATATGTACAATGAACCTTGTGACACGTGTCTACCTATGTAACAAACCCTTGCATGTACCCACAAACCTAAGAGTTCAAAAAAATTCTGTTTAATAAAATACAACTGTGTTTTTGACTTTAAATACTTGAAAAAATTAATTTACAATTCACTTTGCACTCAATGCATAATGTATTTTTATTGATTTGGGGAGATTTATATCTATAATAACCCTAATATTAAGAAATAGATTTAGAATGGAACGATCCAAGATGGCTGATCGCTAACATCTCAGGATTGTAGCTCCCAGTGAAAGCACAGAGAACGAGAGGACACCACACTTTCAGATGAATTTTTGTTGCTCACGGACCAGAAGGTTCCCAGTGGAGGAGCCCCACGGGTCGCCAGCACAACTCTTCTGGCTGGTGCAGCGGTTTTGCCAGCGCCTTGGCGTGGCAGCTCTTGATGCAGAGTAAACGGGACTGGTTCCCCTATGACTGACGTTTGGAGCTCCCAGAAGGCAGAGTCGCCTATTACAGACTCAGGAAGGAAGCCAGACCAGAGATTCCCGGGCAGAAAAGCACCATCAGTCTTAACACCGCTGTTTTGGCCGGTGCAGTGGGTTGCTCAGATTTCAGCCCTGGGAATTAACAAGTTGGACGTCCACTCAGAGAACTAATTTGAAAGTTGGTAATTACAAAGACGAGAGGTGGATAAATTTAACAACAATGGGAAGAAACCAGCATAAAATGGCTTAAAATACTCAAAATCAGAATGCCTCTCCCCCTACAGAGGATCACAGTTCCTCATCAACAAGGGAACAAGGCTTGATGGAGAACGAGTGTATTCCATTAACAGAATCAAGCTTCAGAAGGTGGATAATAAGAAACTTCTGTGAGTTAAAAGTACATGTTATAGCCCAATGTAAAGAAACTAAGAACTTTGAAAAAAGGTTT